TCAAAAGTCGCTCGAGTGTTTTGAAAGTTTTACCATGTCTAGGTAAGGCTAATATATAAGTAAACAACCCAAAATACTACAAAAAATATCGCTTGTAATTTTTCATTTGAAGTAATATTTCTGGTAGAAAACGTCGTCCGTAATTATTWAATATTATAAAATCATGAAATTGTACGTTTTTTCTTYTTTAACCACATTTATTTCGAGTACCGTAGTTTCGAAAATCGAAAAATGACCATTCCAAAGTACCAGTTCAAGAGCATTACTTTTCAGAAAAGATGCTACACTTGATACTTTTGAACAAGTTTAGAGGGAGAAAAAGTGTTGACAGAATAAAAAAGAAAAAGAAATAAACATAATTGTAAAACCAATACATTACTCGCTCCGCTCAGAATCTAAAATGTTGGARTTAATTAACTTGGATAAAAAACAAAAATGGATTAACACTAACTTATTGGTGATTAAGAATAAATTATAAATTTTAAGCCCGCTGCAGGAACATTAGACTTTAAAGTTTAAATAGTGTTATTACTAATATTACTATTAGTAATTATATAGCTCGTAACCAAAAAATATGTTCAGTTCTTTTTAAAATTAACAATTTTGTTGGTGTATATATAAATAAAGCTCTAAATKATGTTTTTATTTATTACTTTTATTCAATTGAGATTTATTTGAGCAGATTTAAATATATTCTAAGATATTCAGATTATTTTTTATATTTTGTGCATATTATAAATATAAAAGTGAAGTAATATTTTATTRCATTTATTGCAATTCTATGATAATATAATATTGTATACTGATATCCAGTACAGTAGCCAAGGGTGAAGTTTGGGTGTTTATACCCTCTTCCATTGATATTTTTTCTTCCGATAAATGTATTTTTAAAATACGAAAAATATAAGACTTAATTCAATTTATGCTTCCTCCCATCCTGTTCCAAATTCTAGCTACACCACAGTATATATCTATATGATTAAATACCATAACATTCAATAAATTAGTTAATAGGTGTCTATACTTTGATTTCAACTATAATAACTTTTTTATAAATTAATTTATATTGTTAATTATTATTATGGATTATAATTTAAACTCACGTCTGTTAAGGTTAAATTTTATACTTTGTAGAAAATCAGTTAGGTTATAATAATATAATATTTATACAATTTATACGTTACTTATTTTGTAATATTTCAAACTAAAATTATTGTTTATTATTACTATTACGAAATTAGCATTAGCTATATTATTGCTAATTTATTTCAACAGTTATAGTTATAGTCGAATAAGCATATTTTAGAAAAGAGAAATTGCGTAACAGTGTAAGAAATAAATAGACAATAAATGTTTGTGTTAATCTAACATTATGCATTGAAATATAATTAAGAAGATAAGGAGATTAAATTAAAGCTTTGTACAGCTAAATAACGAGGCTGKTTGAATTAATGAGGAAAGCATGATGATGAGGGCTGTGTTTAGCATTGTATCTAATGACATCGTAAGGAAACGACTAACCAGACATTAAAGGAAGGAGGTACGTGAAATCACAAACATATAATCTACAGTGTGGCTTGCGCAGAGAGGAGAGTCGTTAAGACCAAGTTTACAGGAAAGATAAGGAAGAAGATTATGATTGGGATTAGATCTTAGGCAAGATAAGCTCAAAGTTATAACTAAGATTATAAGATTAATTAGACGGTTAAAAAATAATATCATCAACCACTTTATTTATTTTATATTATTTATTTCAGTTAATCAACGATAGTTGTTGAGAAATGGTTACTAAATAATCTACTATAATTATTATTACAATTATTTTGTTCAGAATAAAATTGACCATAGCACATGTTTTGGATTACCTGTGGCATAGAAATCTTTATTAATAACTAATAAGGTCCTTTCGAAGTCTTTTTTCAATTATCCATTGTTCGCAAACACAATAATTAAATTTCAGGAAGTCTCAATTTCGCCATTCGTGTATAATATATGAACATGTGACCCCCGGTCAAGCACACGCGATAAACATATTTAATAAGCCATATCGTATTGAATCCTCAATGGTTTTGTGTCTGACGACTGATGAATATGGTTAACCACTGTGCTGAAAGTGTGGAATTTTTAAATATTCACGTGCTGACCTAGCCCAAGTGCGTTTTCCTTGTTAAAAACAAATTTGCTGTAATTGGCAGCTCCGAGCTACAAACGTGCATAATCGTTTAGATTAATCGATGGAGCGGACCGTGTTTATAATATTATTATGCTTTCTCCGACATGACTCATTTATTATCATTCCRAGTTTATACAAGTTTATATACCTAGGGATATTGTCATTGGTAATTGGTTCTGTATACGTATGTAATAACCAATAAGTAATAACAATAATAATGTTATATACAAACAATTATAAAAATATTGAAATTATTATAGCATAATATATATGCAAGATTATTGAGAATAAAGTGTACAAAAATAACGCCACAATGTACAATTTCGTATTTCATAGTATTATTTTGTATTCTGTGATTGTCTATAATATTATATTTTTTATTTTGTCCACTTCAGTAATATAGGTATACCTATAGTGGCTAGTAGACGATGACGACAAAGATACCTCGTTAAATCTTGACAAGTGTTTTCGTCGTTTAGACCGCGACTTCTACGGATCGTATTACCGTCATCAATGGTTATTAGTTATTACTATTATTATTGAAATCGTATTTCTCTTCATGGTACAATGAGAAAAACATCGATCAAGTTCAGATTACGTAACTGGTAACTCGTCATGTTTCAAGATCGTTACTGACGATGAAAACTGTATAAAAGGATTACACATGAAAAATTAGAAAGTAGAAAGAATAGTACTCATCACAGACGTTTCGATTCTTAATTTTTTCAATACGTACATCTGTATAATAATGCGTTACGTGCGGTGCTTTAATTAAATTTGATAATATGATCTATCCGTATCCGTCTGACAGTAAGTGATGATCAAAGGATATTTCTTGTAAAACTTCTATAGATTTTTATCCAGAGGGCAGAGACGCACGTTTATTTTATAATGCTTTATAATTAGACTTTGATGCACTCGAAATGGTTTGATCGTCCCACCACAGAGTTTCCTATCCTTATATATTATTATAGTTTTATGTATTAGTGTATTATTATATTATTTTCAAAAAATAAGCAATTTTCTTYCCCAGCAATAAATTATCGATTTCGAGTTATAATTAAGTTGTATAATACTGTCTAATAATTTGTTGTTAATACGATAATACTTATGTTCGGGATAAATATTACAATAAAAAAATAAGAGATAATTCACTCTTAAGTAAACTCTTATAAGTTCAAGTCTTATCTGTTTTTAAATTATAGTATTATACCTACTACCTCAGAGCGACGTATTAGTTAAATATTGGTAAAGAGTATTAAGCGTGTATGTTAGGAAACGGGTATTAACAGTGGTGGTGTGAACTTTTTTTACCATGAAGCAATTATCTTAAATAAGTACTCTGATGCTTAACTTTTCACACATTTAAAAATMAGGTCGTATGTGTAAGTATAAATTATCAACTAGTCTATCCGTCTAAGTCCTGGAGACTAGTGTCATTGGGATACCCCCCCCACTTTTACAAGAGTTGGCTGTCTCATAAAATAGCTATTGACAGCGCCTGCACTGATAAGTAACCGTTTATTATATATWTTTTTAAACATAACACTGCTGTAAGGTGTTCTTATTAAAACAGTTTAATATTCCTTGCATCTTTATAAAGAGAATAAAATATTTTTTGGTTGATAATATATATGCGTTTATAATATTATAATGTATTACAGGCGTGCATAAATGCTAAACAAATGTTATTGTTACATGTTTATGTACATAGTAACACATAGTAAACGAATGTAGTAGACACTGTAAACATATAATATAAACATTACACAATATAATATACCTAATTATGATTGTTTTACGTAATATTATACGCATTTTCCAGGACGACGAGCCACCAGAGATCACGTACATCGTGGTCGACTCGGGTACTCTAACGTTGCAAAAGATGACACCCACCCTGCCCATGCCCGAAAAGCCTGAATTGGACAGACTATTCGCCGAGTTGGTTGTAAGTATCGCGGATTTATAATTTACTAAAAGTATTTAGTATAGCCCCTGTAAATGCGCAATGTGCATAAATATTATATATTTTTTCACATAATATAAATAGTCTACGTTTATATCTGGACCTTATTCTCTGCCCTTGATCGATTGGTTTCATTCCTACCTATCACTTGTCCTTTAATTTATTTCGATGGTTATAAAAACATTCATTTTTGATAAGCCATTTATAGACGTACATATATTTAAAATACATTTTCGTTACCATGATTTGTATAGTCAATGTAACCTAACCTACAGTTAGTATCAAATTTTTCATATGATTATTTTTTTTTACCAAATTATTTCAATTAATTCCTAATTATAATGTTTCAGCCGTTTTAGGGTTTATTATAGGGTAGGTTAGGGGGGGGGATATGCGATGCCTGTAGCTTATATCTGCATATCAGTGAATGTCTTATAAGTCCCTATCGCCCGTATGGGTGGTGTGTTTGGGTGAGCTTATATTTATTTCTCTATTGTTTTTTAAACGTATACCTGGGCTACATAGGTACTCTCTATATATATCATTATTTTCGAAGGCTTCTCATGGGCTTTTTATCATATTTTAATTTTAAAGCGAGTTATGAGTATTTTAAGTTACACAAACAATTTATAATACTCATAACTCGCTTTAAAATTAAAATATAATAATAGGTCTATGATGARAAGCCCTCGATAATAATGTTACCTTTAATTTTTACAAGAAGTCAATTCACTCTAAATTTTAAAGTAACGGAGCTAAACGTGTTCTGCTGAGCGTAAAATTTGGTATGTTACGCACTTGTAAGACGGAGACAACGCGTGCGGGTGTTGTGTCCTCTTAAATCATTTAACTACCATACTAACATATTCTACCGTTTATGGGTAGATATTTGTTAGTGCATACAATTTTATATTCYTTTTCTAAATAATTGAAGTTTTMAAAMATAAAAAATGTCATAAGCATGACGTAGTTTCTTACCACAAAATAAATAAATGTTGTTACCTACGAACCTTTGTGAAAAAAGTGTATACTCAGAAATATTTATAGCTATATGCATCATTGCATCAATGATAATTCTAATATTCGCGGAAAATAACGCGTACCTATACTGCGAAACTGTTGAATACACTATAATCAATGATCGTTATTCGTTCTCAAAACGTTTTGGCTATCCATAAAAAATAACTCAACTTCTTAAATAAGTAGAGAAAATTGCAATAATTATGTTCATACTTATAATGAAATTAAGATCTGTAGAGTTTTTTGTGAAATAAAATAAATTGTCAGTTATCTGTATTTTTATCAATGCGTAAATCAACCACCACGTTTGCTTGACTTGTATAAAAAATGTGTCCACCTAGGAGTCTGCCTCTTTTTCCTATCACTAAATCGGCCACCATTAAGGTTTATTATTTTTAGGTAGGTATAAACTTATTAAGTATTATGTATATATTATMTTGTAAAAGTATCAGTAGGTTTTACTTCGCACTCGTCCCCATTGCCGCTGTCATATTTTTCTCTTTTTTTCGAACGACGTGCATGAAAAATCGTCTCCGATGTTACGCAATTATCATTTTTCACTTATATAACATGCACATGCACAGACATCATCGACTCATCGTGCGATCGCATTCGACTCGCGGTATTGTTGTGTACAGTGAGAAACTCTCAAGGGAACTACGAAAGGACTTTTGGGACTAGTTTTTATGACCTATAAAATATTGACTGACCACACACACACGATTTAACAACCGTCCTATTCGTGTTACGTAATGTTGTGTTATTATTTCTTATTGTTGGATGTGTCATGTATATATATATATATATATATATATTATGTATGTATTTGTATATATATTGTATTGTTGAGTTTGTTGACCGGTCTTAATTTAATATTATAAATGCGTATATTATTATTACTATTTTTCATCTCAAAAACGTGACTAAAAATCAAATATATTTTCGACTGTGAATCAAATTTTTCATTATTGCCGACAAATAAAGATTTACGATTATTGTGCACTGTGGAGTGCATATTGTTGGTATGACCATTGCCTTTTATTTTCCCGTTGAAATTTTTTGAGTTTGTAAAACAACTTTGAGTGTGTTCCACATTGTTAACGCCTTAAGATATAAATAGTAAATATTATTTATATGGTACGATGAGTATGCCATTTTTCGATTTTATCTACGATATTTTGAGAAAATAAATTTCAACATTTCCATGTATATGAAAAACTACCAACAAAAAGCAACAAATACCTATCAAATAAATCTCTGTGCAAACATTGGTCTGTTTTTTATAAATTTAATACTTAGGTTTTCATCAGAATGTATTTTTTTTCAAATTTATTATTAGGTTCTTACTTTTGCTTTTTATAAGAAATGTAAATATTTTACTACAATATTATTGTTATAATTCCATTATTTATTTGTTTGGAGCAATCAATAATAATAAATATATTGACTCATATAATTAAAATATACTAAATAATTAATTAATAAATCTATGACGATATCTGTAAAAGCTATATTTTAATTTTTTTTTATTTATATTATAGGAAGAACTTGATTTAACTGCTACCAATAAAGCAGCTATGCTGGAACTTCCCGAAGAAAAGAAATGGCAAATTTATTGCAGCAAAAAAAAGATATTAGAGGTAAAATATATATTTAAAAGTTTGTTGATAAGATTTAATTTCCAATAATTAACATATTAAATAACTTAGGATCAAGAAAATACAACAGATCTTTCACAATCGCCTGAAAATTACATTGAACGTATACAATCGTTGAATGGGGATGAACAGGAAAACATCAAGTTATTTGATTCTCTAAAGACTGCTCTTCGTACTCAGCCTCATAGCTTTGTACTAAGATTTGTCCAAGCTGATGGATTAGTTACCCTTTTAGGAGTTTTGTCATCTATGAATTATGATACTCAACAAGGAACTATGCACACATCAATTATTGGATGTATAAAAGCCCTTATGAATAACTCTGTAAGTGTATTATATTTAAGTTTATTAAAATGAAAATTACTCAACTGAAAGAATTTYCATATGTTAAACATAATTAAATAACAATATAATTGTTGTTAATTAGTTTTCAATATTTTTGCTTCAATAGATTGATTTTCTTATTGAAAATCCATACTAACTTGTAACTTGTAAGTTATAAGTTATAAAATATTATTATATGAACCAAATTATTCAGCTAATTATCATTTATCATAATTTCATGTAGGTATTTATATAATCATATAAAGTTGTAATAAATAGCAAGATAAAAATAATAAATGGGGGAGGGGGGGAGGTTGTWGTGGCCAGGTGGATTAAGGCGTCAGTTGCTACGCACACCATTGYCGGTTCGAATCCTGGTCATGAGTGGCATAACCTTCCAGGCAGTTCTTGCTATCTGGAAAGAGAGGCTGCCGCCCCCCACCTGGGCATGGCAGAAACCTAAGGGTGCCCATTCAAAATTAATTTATAATTCAGAAGATTGTAGTTACTCATTATGTAAAAAAATAAATATCAACATAAATACACATTATTAAATAAATGTATTTTATTATTTTAGACTGGAAGATCTCACGTGCTAGCACATCCATCCGCTATAAGTACCATTGCTCGGAGTTTACTTACTGAAAATCCTCGTACCAAAGTTGCTGTATTAGAAATTCTTGGTGCTTCTTGCTTAGTTCCAGGAGGCCATAAGAAAGTTCTTGATGCTATGACAGACTATAAGGAATTTGCTCATGAACGTGCCAGATTCCAAGGCATTATTAATGATTTGGACAGAAACACTGGCATATATAGAGATGATTTGACAGTTAAAACAGCTATTATGTCATTTGTAAATGCTGTTTTAAGTTATGGACCAGGACAAGAAAGTTTAGAATTCCGGTTGCATTTGAGATATGAATTTCTACAATTAGGGCTCAAGAATATTATTAATAAGTTAAGAGAACATGAGAATCAGACATTAGATAGACATATGGATTTCTTTGATATGGTCCGTAATGAAGATGAAAATGAATTAGCAAGAAAATTTGAACAGGTATAATATATCATGTGAACTTAAAAATATGTTTTATGTATGTCTTATTTTCTTATTTGTATTATAATTACAGGAGCAAGTTGATACTCAAAGCGCTACTTCTATGTTCGACTTATTACGCAGAAAATTAAGCCATTCTCCTGCATATCCTCACTTTTTATCACTTTTTCAGCATTTTTTATTGCTGCCCCGTAAGTCATCGAAAAATATACATAGGTATCTGATATGTCAAAAATAATATAATATTATTGTTATTAATATTATAGTTGAGTATGGAAGCCTTCCACAGCACTGGCTTTTGTTTGACCGAATTGTACAACAGATAACTCTTCAAACCGATGCTGGTGCTGATAATGATGTATCACCAATTAATATTAATGTCAAAGATATTATTCAACTGTAAGTAATCTAGTCCAAAAAGTTTTTATTTTTTATTTATACATTATGGTTTCGTTATAGTTTGGCTAAAGAAGAAGAACTTGTTGCTGCAAAAAATAAAGCTGAAGAACTCGAAAAAGAAAATATCAGTATTTCTGCTTCACTTGCTAAAAAAGAACAAGAACTAGATTTAAGAAATCAAGAAAAAGTAAATATAGATTGTGTTTGACAAATATTTTTAGAAGGTCAATATAATCACAATTGAAATGAAAAAATACATATATTAAGAGGATGTCAACGCACTATTTATTTTCTCTCTCTGACCCATGCTCAACATAGACACAACATATTTATACAGAATCATTTTTTTCTATTTTTTAAAGTAATTTTAGAGTAAAATTACCTATTGAAAAAAAAGATAGAAAATAGCATTTTTGAGGGAATGAAATATAGATTTTTCTAAATTTTGTTTCAAAATAATTTAAATTTTGTTTATATTKAAAGTCGAATACTAAATCAATTAACAATAAAATATAATATTGATGTTATTTCCTCAAAAATATTATTTTCTATCTTTTTTGTAATGCCTGATTTTACTCTAAGATTACTTAAAAACATAGAAAAAACGATTCTGCGTTAATGCGTTTTGCCTATGTTGTATATGGGTTAAAGAGAGAAAACAAATAGTCCACTGACATTCTCTTAAGACAAATACATATTACTATATTATGGTCTCACAAAATATTTTACTTTTTAAGGTTATACTAACGAAAACTATGATAATTTTTAAGTGTTAATAAATGAAAATAACTCAATTTAGTTATTAGGTTAGTTTCATAATATTCATGAATTTTGTATCAATTTTAGGAAGATATGGAAGCCAGTATTTCAAGAATTAAAGAACGTTTGGAAAAAGAAATATCTATTCACTTGGAAACAAAACAAAAGATATCTGAACTCGAAGATACAACAAGTGAATTACAGCATAGAATTACTTACGAGCAAGCGGAGAGGAGAAAGCTAGAAGCAATGCTTACTAATGGAAGTTTACCAGATGATGCTAAAGTCAATTTTAGCGTGCCTCCTATGTCTTCTATTCCACCTCCACCACCACCACAACCAATAACTAAAAGTTGTGGTCCCATTCCACCCCCAGCACCACCACTACAAATCCCTCAATCAAATCTTCCACCGCCACCTGGTTGTCTTCCTCAATTAGTTGGCAGACAAAGGTCTGTTGAAATTCCAAAACCATCTGCTCCGCTGAAATCCTTCAACTGGGCTAAATTACCAGAAACTAAAGTGGCTGGCACTATATGGGCTGATATTGACGAAGGAAAAATGTATTCATCTATTGATCTTGAAGCAGTTGATAAACTATTCTGTGCATACCAGAATCAAAAGCCAACAAATGGCACAACAACAGCTATTGTGAGTAAATTGCTTGATAATAAAAAAAAAAGTTATAATATTGATAAACTATCTTCTTTTTACAGAATGAAGGATCGTCTGAAGATCTAAGACAAACTGGTAAAAATAAATCCAAAGTCTTATCTGTTATTGATGGCCGTAGAGCTCAAAATTGTACTATATTGTTGTCCAAATTGAAAATGTCTGATGAAGAAATCGCCAGAGTTATATTGGATATGGATACTAAAGATGTTTTACCATTAGACATGGTTGAACAACTGTTAAAATTCACTCCAGGCCCAGATGAAGCAGCTTTATTAGAAGAACATAGTTTTGATTTGGACAGTCTAGCCAGAGCTGACAGATTTTTATACGAGATTTCCAAGTTCGTAGTAAAAATATATATTTGTGACTTGTAACTATTCTTTATTCGTATTTCATGTTTAAAGCACCCATTTTGTGTTTCTAACACAAGTACATATTGATTTAATGATAAGCTACTAAAAAAGTCAATTAGGTAACTACTTCAATGCATTTTAAACTTGTTTATCACTACACAAAGTAAAATAGTYATAAACCTTCTCAATAATACTTAATTATATAATATTTAGTATATAGAAGTAAATATTTTTTACTATTTTCATTAGTTAATTATTATCTGGTTGTAAGTGAAAAAAATTTTTCTAGTGAAAAAAAWKCATGCATATTGGTTGATTACTTTGTCCATGATAATAATTTAATTTTGTAAATAGTTATTATTTCCAAATTCTGCTTTTGAAGTATAATTTTTATTTTTAAAGTTAAAAATAAGTGATTTAATRATAAATTAAAGTATTTCATATTTCGCATAGTTTTCAATAGTTTCCTACGTTTGAATGATTACTGAACTTTAGACTTTAGAGTGACAAGAAAAAATTTAAACTTCATCTTATCTATATTTCAAAAATACATAGTATCATAATTTAAATTAATAAATACAAATATTTTGATTATTTCATTTTTCAATTTTCAATTCAAATTTTTCCCTGTTTTCCATTATATTTAAGGTATTAAAAATTTATATATATACAAATAATGATTTATTTTTCACTATAAATCACAGTTATATATTAGATCAACTGTTTCCCAACTTTTATAACCACAGCACTTTTAGGGGAAAAGTTTCGTGTTTCGTTCAACTCCAATGTCTGTAAAACAAATATTTTATATCAATATTTTACTAATTATTATTATTTAGGTGAACTATTTTTCCAAAGTATAATATAAAATAATTTTCTTAATATAAACATAAATTTGGTGAAAAGCTTGAGATTATCTCACACACCTTGGAAATCACTGTTACTAGATAATTGTGCTCTAAATTCACAACATTTCTTACACTTAAGACTCAATAAYTTGTYTTTATGCAATCTATTAGAAATTAAATATAATATTACTAAAATGTTAACTATTTTTTTTTAGAATTGCACATTATGACCAACGTCTTCGTAGTCTAGTATACAAGAAGAAATTTATTACCTGGACCGGAGAAGTTGAAGGTAGAACCAAAATTGTGATGGAAGCTTCACGTGAAGTAGCTCGTTCTAGAAGATTAAGAAAGTTATTGGAAATTGTATTAGCTCTTGGAAACTACATGAATAAAGGAGCCAGGGGCAATGCTTGGGGTTTCCGTTTATCATCTTTAAACAGACTTACTGACACTAAGTCAAGTTCTGTTAGAGGCATAACATTATTACATTACATTGTTGATATGGCCGATAAGAAGGTAGTGTATTTAAGTTTATAAATATAATATATATGATATAATATTATATATTGCCATAATATGGGTATTTTTTTGTACATATCAGYGCAATGATCATAAATAATGTGTTATTAATTAATTTTTTTATTTGAATAGTTCAAGGACATTTTATTATTGGAAGAAGACTTACCTCATGTAAGAGGAGCTTCAAAAGTAAGTTTGGCTGAACTTGAAAAAGACATGTCACAGTTAAGAAACAACCTGAAAGAAGTTGAACGAGAAATTGAGTTCCAAAGAGTACAACCTGCTGTACCGGGTGATATGTTCCTACCAGTAATGAAAGAATTCTTAACTACTGCTACCTGCCGATTTTCCGAGTTAGAAGACTTATTCCAAGATATGAAAACTAGAGTAAGTTCTTATTTAACTTTATAACAATATCACTTTTTAGGTACCTAAATGTTGTAAAAAAAATKTTTATTTTATAGTTTGATAGAGCAGTCAGATTATTTGGAGAAGATAATTCTACAATCCAACCTGATGATTTCTTTGCCATTTTTGATTCTTTCTTGACAGCTCTTTATGAAGCACGTCAAGATAACTCCAGTGTTAAAAAGAGACGCGAAGAAGAAGAAAAAAGGATWAGACAAGAAGTGGAGGTTTGTGTTGTAATGTTAAAGATCAAGGAGTAAACATAAATATTATATTAAAATATATGTTAAATTAATTTTTTTTTATAATTATAGTTAAAGAAATTAACTCTTGATCGTAAAAACTGTAAAGATAGTGCCAGTGTTTTGTCAAATGGATCTGGAAGTCGTCAAGTTTCTATCAATGGCACATCTGGTGACAAAGCAGAATTTGATGATCTAATTTCGGCCTTAAGAACAGGTGATGTTTTTGGGGAAGATAGTATGGCAAAAATGAAACGTAGTAGAAAATCCAGGCATTCGCCTMCAGCCAGGGAACATAGCAGGGACAGAGTATTAAATGTTACTCGAAAAAAATAAAAAAATAATGTTTTTATGTGTATTTATTGTTTATTTAATTATATTAAAAATGACTTATTAGTAGTTCTTGCATTTTATTCTACTTTCTGTGATATACATTATGTCGTGTTCAAAATTGTGTATTGACTACAAGTCCAACCTAATTGGCTTGCAAATGCTCTCCTTCATTTTCTTGTATAATTTTATTCTTTTAAATTATGTTTATTTTTATTTTTTTAACTAAATTATTTAGCTGTAAATTGTAAATAATTATAATGGTAACACCATATATTAGAACGAACAAAATATGTATAACATTTTTAGATAGATTATAGATTTTTTTGTAGCATACATTTAAATTACATTTGATTATTAAATTATTTCAACAATAAACAATTATTTTTCATTGAAACCTAAATTTGGAAGTTGGAGTTTTTATACTTTGAAAATAAAATAATAATTATGAAACAAAATATTTGTTTAATTTTTATCTGATTGTTACTAATTTTAATTACTGTAATTGTACATAATATGCAATAATWGTTTATATATTTGTTGAAGAATTGTACTATGAAACTTGTATAAATAATTAAATAAGTATTATTTTAAATATAACATTTTTTTATTGAAACTAGATATGTTAACGTGTTTTTTAACGTATTATCAATTTTATTGTTTATTTAAATTTAATATCTTCAATGTTTTTATAAAATATAATAAGTTATTATTACTGTGTGAAGTTGTGTTGTAAATTATGTAATTTAAAATTATCCTAAAAATGCAATATTAAAATATTATCCAAATTCATGGCTGAGTATGAACAGTAGCACAGTATACTGCATACCTACTTAGTAGTTTATCTCAACAATTTTAATTATTTCTATTAAATTTAAATTTATCTCGTTTATGTATTTCTTACAAATAAATTCTATAGTTATTAACTTATAATAATTATAATAATTTTAATTTGTGACAGTGAAAATACAATTTCATAATTCTAACCAGAAAATATTATTACTTTCCTGATAAAATACTGTCAGTTGAATTATAACAAAAACGTACAATCTACCTACTAAAAATAATTATCAATTGATAAATTATTCCAAAAATTAGTTGAATTATGTATAAAAATATGTTTCAACCAACATATTCCATATACAGCCATTTATTTATCTGAATGATTTTTTTTATACATAAACTAATTACCTATATTTTATAGAAACATAAATTTCTATTTTTATTTGGTGCTATTAAGTTTTATTATTATAATTTACTATTTATTTGGAAAAAAATATTACTTTTTCATTACCTACAATTATTTTACAGTTTTAACTTTTATTTAATAAGTACTCATGTACTCTCAAGGTTAAGCCCAAGATACTAGCTACTAAGAAATGTGCCTATATATTTATTAATATAATATATCTTAATTCTTAATATATCTCACGCCAAAGTGCCTTCATTGGTTGGTTCTTCCCTCAAGACACTCAAGCTAAWACATATAATAATTTTAGAAAAATTACATCATTTATGCTTATTGTACTTTTTTTTTATGTACAGATTATATAAAATCTAAATTAAAAAAAAAATCTTAATATAATTACAATACATTTTGTCATATAATAATTATTTAAGGGATGCAYAATTACACACTTTAAAAAATTGTCATTAAACTATCATTTAATCAGAAGTATGAATAGATATTAACAAACAAAGAATGTTAAAAACCTGTAATATGACTGAAAAATAAGTATATCCAAAAATATATAACTTAAAAAATGTTATCAATTTAATTTATTATTTTTAAATTGTAGGCATTCTAAAAAATATCAAAAATTTCGGAATTAAAAAATATACGATGTATCCGAATTGGTTCCCGAGTTGTTCCGAATTGGTTCCCAGAAGAATGCATCTTCAATTTTTCTTCTCGTTTWATACAGACTTAGTACTGTTTACAAACTATGCAGGTATGGTTAAAAATTGTGGTTTTTGTAAAAAAAAAAAATAATAATAAGTAATATAATAATAAATAATAATACATTTTTCAATTCGTCAATTTTTCTTTATGGTAAAAATAAATAAATAATATAATAATAATACAGTTTTTCAATTCATTAATTTTTCTTTTTTTATAAGTATAATAGTTAGGTATGTATTAATGTATTATCGAGGTAAAAATTTGCAACAAACAATTTTCATAAATTTTAATTTAGTAATTTCATTAGTTTTGTATTTGTCCATTTCTATTTATATGAATAAATTTAGGTAGGTACTTCATAGATCATAAAAATATATTAGTATGGACAATGTTAGTATCGGCGTATAAAACCAGCCAAAAGCATATTTTGTTGAAAACTTTTCGTTTTTTCAAAATTTTCACATCGTATTGAAATTCCTGTAGAAATATTGGACATCACCTATATAAGATTATAAGTGGTCTAAACTGAACATGGAAAATTGTATTTGGTTTAAAAATCACCTATCTGACTGTGTTTTTTGATATTTTCGAAAATTTTTAAAATGTGCCTTCGGCTGGTTTTGAAATTATAGTATTATAATGCTTCATCTAAAAAATAAAAAAAAAWAAGAATTTAAATAAATGCCTAATAAATGTAAACATAAAAATAGGGTGAGAATTATGCTTAAAATATCATACTGTATAATATTATATTTCGCTTTCATTGACGTGATAACATTTGTAAAACTCGTTTAAGATGAGGTGATACCCGCATGTGTTGTCTTCGTCTTACAAGTGCGTAWCATGGAACATTTTAAGCTTAGCAGATCACATAAAAAATTAGAGTGAATTGATCTCTTAAAAAATTTAAAAGTAAGAATATTATTTAAACAACCTCATAGGCTTTTTACTATATTTTAATTTTGAAACGAATTATAAATATTTTAAGATGTGCAAAAAATTTACAATTTAAAATACTTATAATTTGCTTCAAAATTAAAATATAATGAAAAGCYCATGAGGTTGTTTAAATAATAATCTTACCTTTAAATTTTATTTTAGGTTAATTCACTCTAATTATTTTTAAACTAACAGAGCCAAACGTGATCTGCTGAGCGTAAACTTTGCAAYGTTAGGTACTTGTTAGATGGAGTCATGGAGACAACAGATGCGGGTATCACGYCCTCTTAAGATGTAGGTACCTACCTATTCGTTTACTGCAGTTTACCGAAATGCTGCGATTCATTTAACGTTATACTTAAACACTTACATTAATTCAGGAAACACCAACGTTTTTAAGAATACTCTTTTTTACATAGCCACAGGTACCTGATATACAGTTTTTAATAAATTTCTGGAAAAAATCATACATTTTATTGTTAACATATTCTAAGCTTTTCACTCTTAAATGACAAACATTTTTTGTATTTATTGTTTTTACAATGTTTTTTTTTTTTATATTATTTGTATATGGAAATTAGTGGAACAAATGCTTTGATTTTCAACTACGAGTAGGGTATTTGATTGAAAATTGGATTTTGTTTATATCTTTGAGAAGTAAAAATTTGAAATGTACGTAAGTAGGGGAGCATGGGGCTATATGATACACTTTTGATTTTTTCATATTTTACACAAAACTGGTGTAGCAAATCAATTTCTTATTTTTAAATACCATTAGATACTCATGTAATGATTGATATGATTACAATAACCAGTGAAAAAAATATATAYTTGTAAGTAAAAAATGCATTTAAAAAAAAATAATAATTTGTATCACATTACCCCAGGATGGGGCAATGTGTTACAACTGCTGAGGTTAAATGATACAAGTTACTCAATAAACATTTTTATATAATGATGAACCTTACTAGACTTGTCCAAACAGTAATTATATTAGTTACTAAGTAAGYCCATATTGAAAATGAATATTTAGCTAAAATGTACAATGTATACACAATGTTATGCAAATATTTAACAGGAAAATAGTTCCAAAAATTAAAATAACAATCACACTGAAGTTTTTATTTTTGATACTATGTTTGGTGAACACAATTTTTTAACTTRATTGATAATTAATTAATAATTTTAAAATTTAATTATTGGTTAGGTACTTTAAACTTATTCAAAAAGTCAAGTAGGTACTCACAGTTAATACAATATATTTAACGAGAGCAAGTATAACAGAAAAAACATTTAAAAAAATAACATAAGCATAACAATAGAACAAAATATAATTCTATAGGTACCTAATAAGATAAAAAATTTAAAAGTTAGCTTTCTCTTGAGMATAATAAATATACCTAGTTAAAGACTTTAATAGTTTGTCATAACTAATATAATAATATTTAATATCAATAAAAAAAACAAACAAAATTCATTAATATAAAATTAAACAATATGTCATATAGCTGTTATAAAATTTCTTTTTAAACTTAATAAATAACTAATTACTTTCATGATTAATATTATTATTTTTTAATTAATATTATAAAAATATAAAAATTGTGAGTTGTTATTTTAAATGCTATCATATTCGTTATTATTAATCATGAAAGTAATAAGTTATTTTTATTTATTAAGTTTAAAAAGACATTTTTAATTTCATAACAGCTATTTAACATATTGTTAAAAAACAAATACAACCTTAATAGGAAATGTAATTAATTCAAATTAAAAATTAAAAGTTATTGCTATTCTTAAAAGAGTTAAAAGTAAAAATTTGTCTGTTAAGCACATTACACAAGTAAAAGTTAATAGATTTTTTTTTAGTTGTACACTTCACATGTGCCCAAAGTTTACATTGTAAGCATTGAATCCAATCTTTTTCCGAAGCTCTTGATTGAGAATATGGTCATTCATTACACATCAGACAAAATGTTTCATCCTCTGAGTCATCTCGTTTATTAAATTTTAATTTTTTGCATACTTTTATTGGTTTGATCTTGTTTTTCTTTTCTTCTCTAGCATTATGTTCATTTTGGATTTTTTCTTTTTCAGGGGTATCTGTGAGAATAGTTGATTTTCTTTTTCTTCTTTGAACTTTACTATTTGTTGTACGGACACCAGCTTTTGGRAATGGCCTTATTTGTTCTGGTGATATATAATTATCACATGGTTGAAGAGTTTGAATGATTTGTTATTGTGAAGTGGAAGGACTTTGAATTGGTAGTTCATTAATATTATTTTGATTAGTTTCATCATCAGTGGTAGTATTTAAATTAGGTATTTGTTTCTTGTGGTCGATCAGTAATATAACTAGGTAAAATTCTTCATCAGTGAATATATCTGGATTATAAGGCTATATACCA